ACGACCAGGCCGGCCCTGTTACGATGGAGCCCTCCGCTCTGCCATCGCTTATCCTGCCACCTGGCATTCCGTCCAAGGGCCAGCAGGGGGTGGGTTCCTGATAGCGGGCCGGCGTCATGGACTCGCTCCAAGACGCTGCGTTTCCATTGATTCGCCACGCGCCATTCTCGCCTCCTTGGGAGGGGGGAGGGACGGAGGAGGTTCATTTGTTCGTTCATTTCTCTTGTTAATATTCGATTTTGTTCTCTTGTTGGTGCACGCACACCATATGCACCCACGTTGCGTCTCCTCATTACTCTTATTGGGCTTTACCTCTAGTCGGGATGGATAGTTTTTTTCTATCATGGGGGAGGAGTGATGTAATGACGGAGCGCCATCCATGAGATACCAGGGGGTAACGAGTAGGTGCACGATGATGTCATCGGGATCCAATCCTAGATCGGGCCGGTGAGGCATTAGGGAACCCTCGAGAAGGTTCCCTGAGGGGGTCTGGCCAGAGGCGGGGCTTAGCTCCTCCAAGGGGGATATAAGGGAGAGCGGGGGGAAGGTTCGGGGTCGGTGTGGAAGCCTGGGTTCCGGACAGCGGCGCTGCCTTCTTCTCCTCACCACGGGCCACGTGGCGGGTCTTTCCTCGAGGCTCACCTCCGCTTCCAGCGCGATGTCAGCCAGCGGTGAGGCCGGAGGGTGGAGTGAGCCGCGGGATCGTGGAGAGAGAGGCGCCTCGTCCACGGATTGGGAGAGTGGAGTCATTGGGAGGGAAGTGAAGCTGTACTGTGTGGTGCCACAGCAACGGAGCAACTCTGCCGACACTGCTACCCCCTCGCAACCCCCCACACGAACACACACGTAGGGCCTCGTGGGGGGGGGGTCACTTGGCACCCTGGGTTTTCACCCAAGAGCCCCCCTCATGGGGATGTCTCAGGGTTTCCCAGTGCCAAGAGTTTGGTCGACCCCTCCCCCCCCAGGCCGAATTGCACTGCGGCCCCGTGAATTAGCTTGAAATTGTATGGGCACGACGAGCAAACCTCAGTGAGAACACCCCCCAGCCCAGGGGAATAGGGCCAAGGGAGTGACACACGCCAGGTAGGGGGCGGGGCATCGGGGGAAAGTTCCTGGGCTGACTAAAGCCAAACCTGACCCGGAGCACGAGGAGTAGGACGGGCACGTAGACAATCGGTGAGGGAGCAAAAGGAGCTGAGCAACAGCAGCATTAGGGGATCTACACGGGGGGGCACAGGTAAGTGCCCGACTGACTGGGCGGATTCCGAAGAATTCTGAGGCTTGCAGGGAAGCGCCCCGATTGGCTGAGAGGGCAACCCAGCTTAGCCAGGGATCTCTTTTATCTGGGAAGGCATAAAAGGGGGGAAGAGGACAACCGTAGCTGTCTCCTCAAGTCAGCGAGCGACGCAGTCAGACTTCCAGCCGCTCGAGCATCCAAGAGACGCTGGCGAGTGCAGCCACAACTCGACCCAGGCAGAGACCTTCTGGACCCTCGTCCCTCCGACTCCCAGCACGTTCGTGAGACATCGTGAATACGTAAGAGAGGAGAGGGATAGTGTGAGGGCTCCCAGAGGGCTTAGAGAGAGGTGAGGAAGAGGGTAAGGGTCCACCTAGGGATTAGATAGGGATAAGTTGGGTGCTGGTAGCTGGGGGACTTCTGCTCCGGGCCACGTAGGGGTTTCTTACAGTTGCGCCATTAATAATCTTTAGCATAGAACAACGACGCTGCGTGGTTTCTGTGTGTGCGTGGAGATAGCGTAAGTGTGGCGTGAGTACGTGCGTACGTGGAAAGCGCGCGTGTATTCAGTGATAATGCTGCCCTGCGTTTGTGTCCGCGTGCTTGCGCTCGCAGTGGATGTGTGCACAGCGAATTAACGCGTGAATATTATCATCAATTCGATCGGCGAGTGCTTATTCACACGGCTATTTTAGCGCGAGTTGTAGCAAGCAACCTGAGCGGGTCCGGTGGTGCGCGTGCACGCAGCCCCGCAGCGTGAGTGGTGGTTTACGCGGGGGGGGGGGGGGGGGGGGGAGGTAGAATAACGCGAGGCGGTGGAGAGCTAGCCACGAGCCATTTCCCACAGAGCGGACGCTGGTGCGGGGAGGCCAATCAGGCGATCGGTAGCAGCTCGGCGCGAAGGGGAGGAGGGGGGCATCAGCCCCCACAGCTGTACCGTTCTGAATAAAGAAGCTCCATCGTGGAAATACTTTATTACATATGTATGTGGAACTTCTTTGGCACCATACATAGTCAACCATGCTGATCAGAGGTGTGGGGGAAGAACAACAAACTAAAACACAAGAAGCATCTTCAGGACACTTCATTGATAATACTAAGAATAAAGAGATTGCTCATTTGTATTTTATAACGAACCCACATTTATTCTGGTGTGTCTCAAGAGTGCTTCACACGTGGCGATCAATTTCTACCTTAAAGATATGTTTCTGAAAGGGCACTCAACGTATCGGTCGTCCCTGAGCTGCATAAGGTGACTAAGCACCTAGCCTGGAATTAGGCTTGAGTCTTCTAGTAGGGGGTAATGATGGCTATGTGAAATAATCACTATTCTTGCCCGATTAAGCTGATTGTAATTATTAGCGAAACGTCGTACTCAAATGTTTAAATGCTATTGATTCTCTCTTCAACACACCGGTGGGCTAAAAAAGTTAATTATTTTGTCTTTTGAAAAAACGTGACACATGTTTTACTGTTTGGTCGTGTCGGGTGGTGGAGGATTACGACACATTTATAAATAACGCGATCTGACCCAAAAACCTATATTATGAATAAGTAAGGTGCGGTGTCATTTTTCGAATTTCATAAAAATAGACCATGACGCAAACACAAAATGGCCCACTTACTTATCAACCCGCCACAGTGGCTAGGAGATGTTATCTCCCTCGCCTGGTATACAGGAGGTCGATCTTCACCCTGATGCCTCTATATTTGGAGTTTGCGTGTCTCTCTCCCCGTGGTCGCGTGGACTTTACTCCGGGTCCTCTATTTTTTCCTCCACATTTAGAATCAACATCATGCATTTAGAGTATTTAGCTGCAATAACGAATTTCCTCCCCTCTAATTCTCTGTCCCCCTCCTTCCACCATCCTATCTCTTGAGTATCACTCTTGCTCTCCCTCTCTCTGTCTGCGCTCACACCCTCGTCAACACACTTCTCCCTCGTCATAACTCACCGTTTCTTCTCCAGCTGAGCTCTCTCTGTTACTTCCAAAATATCCCATTTCCTCCTTTCACCCCTCTCTAACCTCTAAAACACATTATCCTTCAAGGCATGTATCAACCAAAGTATTTTTCATGGAGATTTGCTCATAAGCTCAGTATGCTACTTCTCATTGGGGTATCGAGTGCAATCCTGGTCCTGGGCGATCAAATCCCACCTCAACATCCTTCCATAAGATTTAATTTTGAGACGGATCTGGTCGAGGCATTCTCCACCTACATTTTTGAGATCTTTTGAAAAAATCTGGATCCCCTCGAGATGAAGATGGACAATCGGGTGTCTCGATATTCTCTGCTTCTCAGAGACCTGGCTCTCAAACAAACCAAAACAAAGGGCATCGACAAGGTTTGTTTCTTTTCTTGAACGTTTCAAAACGTCCAGGTTGGACAGACGCCCGCTAATAGGTGGCGCTATACGGCAACGATATCGACTGCTCTCCATTAGGCTCCATCTCTCACCTAGAAGCCATTACCTTGAAGATCGATCGTGCCCAAAAAAATCATTAGTTCATCTGAATGTGCTGATTACACACACCGTGAAGCAAAGACTCAGTCTCACGTACACCTCTGCGCGATGCCATTGCGTCCTTTCCTGTGGGTGAATTCATCCCCACAGAGTATTTCAACTGGAATTGAACCCACCCACCTACCAAAACCCTTGCTTTCACTGACAGCGTATCCAACATTCCTGCAACGTTTGCAAAAGTGTGTGGCCTGAGAAATCTCTCTACATAGCCAACCATGCTAATCGGAGGTGCAAAAGATGCAAATACATCTGCACTGACCGTAGAAGACGTGATAAGAGAGAAAAGTAGTTTAAACATGTCCAAATTTGAGTCAGGGATGAATCTGAATTCATGCTGCAAGGTTGGTAATTTCAGAAGACCAGCAGGTCGCACATCAAGAGTGGGACCAGGTTGGCATTCCTTGTTAAAGATATGGCCAGCCGAGGCAACATGGGAATTTAAGCCATCGATAACTTATTTCAGGTCAGAGGCTTTTGCCAGAAATTGAAAGCTAAAATGCTACTCTATAGTCGGTGGGGTGGCACAGTTGTTACCTCACCATAATAAGTGCCTGTGTTCAATTCCCGACTCGATGCCCCTTTTGCATGGAGTTGATATGTTCACCCCCAACTCTGCAAAATGTAAGTGTGAGTGACTGATATTGACTGTTATTGTGGGAAGCGATGGTGTAGCGGTTAGCTCTAAGCTGCACAACGAACCTGGCGACTTGAGTTCGATTCCCGCTCATGGCCAACACCAGTGACGATTATCTGAACCGGTACTGGGCCCGCCTTGGAAGACTCAGCCTCAAGTGAGTACCTGGTGCGGTGTTTAAGCATCGACACTAGGGAGACAAAGGCGGTCGGGCGTGGTGCTGACCATCCACCCACTCGTGTGCCTTTCCGGCCTTCATAGGTGCTCATTACCAGCACTTGCCCCAACAGTCTGTTAAGGCTACACGGGGGATATTTGTATTCGCGTTGGGCCAAACATCCCAATGCGGAGAATTTACCTGTAAATTACTAAATTGAAATTACACACAGAGAACATTCCCCTGATTGTGAAGACTTGGCAGTGCCCTCCTGAAAGAGAGTCTTGAGACTCAGTGAGGCTTTCCTAGATAAATAAGCAGCATCAAATACGTTAGTGCCATTTACAACAATTTTTGGTGAGGATTTGTAGGTACCGGTCAACCGCGCAACATTCACAGCTCGTCATGTGTGTATATTCAACAGTGAGCGGGCACACAACGTTACCTTTGTTGCTGCCATCTTTTGGATGCGTCTCCTCTGTGAAGGAGAAAATATAAACTTTGTAATTAAGAGAGTAGCCTGAACACGCTGCGCACTGACAAGCTGGCTCACAGTGTCGTTAAACCAGCCACCACCCTACACAGCCAATTAGTAAAGTTTGTCATGTAAACAGAACATGCTAAATCGTTACTAGTACAGCACACCGGTTTGTTGGAGAGCAAAGCCACAACATTTACATTCTGAGTCCTCCGATAGTTTTCCCTCCACATTTCGAATAAGCATCATGCATTTAGGTAAGGCCCACTGAGCTATGGGGCCGTCCATAAATGACGTCACACACCTAGGGGGGGAGGGGGGTCAGACATTTGTGACGATGTGTAACGAGGGAGAGGGGGAGGGGTTTGAGAAATGTGACGTCCTTAAAAATGCGCAACTTTAAATCAATATAAACAATAGAATTGTTATAACAACACTAATTTTGATTATTTAAATTTACTAAGGTCACCTTTTTTTATTCCATGAAGGAGCATTTTGCTTCTCCATGGGAGAATGGAGAAGCATACATTTTGTAAAAACAAATAATTATTGTTATTAAATATTTTGATTATAATGATTCTACCAGGGCTTTTCATTCTCTAAACACACACATGCACCCACGTAGGGTCTCGTGGGGGGGGGGGGGGGTCGCCTAATCGTGGGGATGTCCCACGGTTTCCCAGTGCCAGGAGATTGGCCGACCCCCCCCCCCCAGGCCGAATTCCACTGCGGCCCCGTGGATTCACTTAAAATTGTATGGCCACGGTGAGCTCACCGAGCAACCGCAATGAGAACACACCGAACACAGGGGAATAGCGCCGTGCGGAGAGCAATACACCCAGCGAGCTGGCTAAAGCTGAAAACCTCAACCACGAGTAGGAGAGTAAAACGACGGGCACATAGACAATGGGTTGGAGAGCAAAATAAAAGGAGGGAAGAGAAAAAACGTTAACTCAGTTCTCGAGCCAGCCAGCGACCCAGTTGGACTCCCAGCCGCTCGAGCATCCAAGAGACGCTGGCGAGTGCAGCCACAACTCGACCCAGGCAGAGACCTCCCGGACCCTCGTCCCTCCGACTCCCAATGCGTGTCCGTGAGATACCGTGAGTACGTCCGAGAAGTGAGGAATTGCGCAAAGGTTCCCAGAGGGTTTGGATAGAAACAGAGGGGACGCTGGTGCAGGGGGGGCGATCACTCGATCGGCGGCAGCCCGGCGGGGAGAAGAGGAGGCGGAAGGGGGAGAGGAGGAGGGAAGCATCAGCCCCCACAGCCTCCTTTTTAATACGTGTTTTCTCCTATAACATCAGAGTGCAGCGCCACATTAAATACGCACTATATGACAATAGCTTAAAGTGATTTGAAGCATGTTTTATTTTCTAAATAGAAATATGGTTTGGGGGGGGGCAGAGCTTTGTGACGTCATATTTGAGGGGAGTCTGACTTTTTGTGATGCCGTGTGAGGGGGGGGTCAAAAATCGGCCAAAATCGCGTGACGTCATTTATGGACGGCCCCTACGTAGCTCTTTATCAGAAGCGACCTGGCCACAAATGATAGCTCCGCGAAATGGCTTATCACGTGGAACTTTATAGCAGTGGACAAGCACTCTAAACGTATGACGTTTCTAAATGTGGAGGGAAAACCCGGGGGACCGGAGACAAATCCACACGACAACGGGGAGTACATGACGTCACCCAAAGGTGCATGACACCACCGTTTGAGGTAAATGCACAGACGTGACGCCATGCTAGTGCCATAACTCACAGTGACGTCATTTCAACAGGCATCTTTGAGCAATAATGATTTAATCTGGACAAATATAAATTTTGTTATATTTTGAGATTTGGTGACGATAAATTGAGTACCACTTTGTGGGCGAATCGCCAGTGGTTTTCCTATAAAATAGACTCTTTTCCGTCATGCTGTGGAATTTCCACTGCCGTTTCCAGCCTGTAAACATGGGACGAGCCCCAATGCCTCAATGTTCGTGCATTTCCGATGACAAGGGCAAAGACAAATGTACGTACAGCAGAGAGAGAAAAGGCAATTAGGGTACCCACAGTGAATTGCTTGACCACATGCGATTAAAACAAATAGAAGCAATAGTATTGCGCAAGAGTTTCACCAGCAACTTCTATACAGTTTAATTTCTATTACTGGTAGGAACGAAGTGAACCAGCCTACAATAGATTATATCGTCCGTCCGTCCGTCCATGTAGCAACATCGCCCCCTACTGCAAACACTTGGCATGACCCTACAAAAACCTTTAGACTCAGTGATGCTTTCCTGGCTAAACAAGTGTAACATTCCCTTATAATTCCCTCAGATAGCTTTTAATTAAAACATTTAAATTAATGAGGCTTTCCTGGCTAAACAAGTGTAACATTCCCTTATAATTCCCTGAGATAGCTTTTAATTAAAACTTTTAAATTAAAATTTAACTCACAGCGGCCTAAAGCCTACAGCTAGGCCTAAAGCCTCGAACAACGCCTAAAACTCTCCCTTCGTATCGTACCCCCGCGTGTGTGCAAGGGAGTTAATGTTTAACAATGTTACATTCCCTGATGCTTTTAAATAGAAACATTTAAATTTAAAGCTTTTACATAAATAATAATTTGGACGCCGTGTTGATGGCTTCTTACCAGTAGGACTGGGTGAAGTAATCCAAAGACGTCCAGTGGCGGTTCCTCTCGAGCCGTTGGTGTTGATAACACAGGAGTAATTGCCACCGTGTGCTCGTGTAACGTTATAGAGTGTCACATAGCTGGAACCATCCCTAAGGTCCAAGTGTCCCTCGTACATCACGTGGCCCAGCTGTTGCACTCCGCTAGAGACTTGTGAGTACTTGAATCGTGCATTCCAAATGAACAGAACACATGCGTATTAATGATCCATTAGAATTGCAACATTTTCTTTATACGAATATAGTTCAGCTACATCCCTCTAAGAGGGTTACTGGGCTTTAGCATTCCACTATTAAAACCGATTTTTGCAGATATTCAGTTCGATGTCTGAGTATGATTTCCCTTGACTTTATTTTTATTCAGGCAAGCCCAGATATGAGTTTCAGAAGTGGATATATCAGAATTAGCATATTTATACGACAGGAGGAATCCGATGAGCTATAAAGTTATTTTTCACAGGTGTTCAGTATGGGCGGGTCAGCAAGTTACAACAACAATCACAATACGCAAAACACAAATAGAGTGCAAAAAAGAGAGTAAGGTAAGCAAGTCACTAATCCAAGGTGGCACTAGATGCTGTATGGATTGCAGCGATATCATCAACGGTGATGCGTTTGATCGTTTGGGCTTCACCACAGTTGCAGTTTGGTGACTCTTTGATTTTCCTTTTATGGAACAACGCGTATTCCACACATCTCCTGCACTGGGCCCGAACGCGGTTCAGCGTGATTTACAGTCATCGAGAGACAGATAATCCCAGTACTTCCACGGACGGGTCCTCAATGATGTTTTTGTTTGTTATGTTTATAGCCAGCCACCCGGTGTCTTTATATTTGGTTGCCAGAGAGTTGGTGCGTATCCAGAATGGCTTCCTGGATTTAAGCCTAGGGCGTGGGGGTACCATTATGTCTTGGTGGGCGAAGTTTTCCACGATCTTGTTGCACTCCCTGAATCGTTGCGGCATCATGGTGGATGTTGGCTGGAGCGATGCCCCCAGCACGGAAAGCCATGGTAGTGGAGTGGACTTGAAGGTGCCGCTGATTACATGAAGTGCAGTATTGATTTCAAGATTGACGAGGTTTGTGTGAGGGCTGGCACCCCACACTGTAGCACAATACTCTGCTACAGAGTGGACTGGGGGCTTCATTGATATCTTCAATGTGCGGGGCGTAGCTTCCCCACGTTGTTCCCGTGAGTTTCTGGAAAACATTTACCCATACTTTTGTTTTCATTTTGGCTTGTTCAAGGTGGTGCTTGTAGTTGAGCATCCGGTCTAGGGTATCTGGGGTGGAGGTCGTGTGTTCGTGGTGTTACACAGAAGTTGATATTTAATGTTTTCATGGCTTGCCTGTTGTTCAGGTGGAAGATGGAGACGACCCTTTTGGAAGCATTTGGTTTTAGGCGCCAATTTGTGAAGTGTGCTTCGAAGATCTTGACATATTTTTAGATAAGTTTTCCAGTGTCCTCTATTGTCCGGGCTTGGGTTGCCAATGCGATGTCGTCCACGTATGTGAACTTACAGGAGGATGTCGCCGGAATCTCGTCGGTCTAGAGCTTGAACCGCACTGGGGCAAGAACAGATTCCCACAGCAGTCCATTGTTCAAACTTAGTGGACTGCTATCAGCCCCACAAAGATGAATGGTGAAACGCATTTCGCACCAGTTCAGCTGCATGATTCTCAGCAATGGGCCGATATTCACATTACTTTGCCTCTGAAAATGACAATTTTTACAGCTGCTTTTCAAGCCGGGATGCCTTGTGAGGCATTCGGCCACCAATTTAAGAACATTCATTGTGCTTTCGCATGTGGCAGGGAAGTCTGTGAGCAGGTTGTCATCTTCTTGTCAAGTAAATAAGACCACTAGACAGATTATATTATGTACCGCGGTGGTAAATTGTGGGTAATAAATGTCGGAAATGGAAGCAGGGTCTCAGTTGGAAATATCCGACAGCCAAAAATCGCTATTAGCTAAAGAGTTGAATTTCGCAGTCACCCCTAAACACATCCCAGTGGATGATATCATTACCCAGGTCGATGTAGCCCTCAAAGGCTTGGGACACATGCCGGCAGACGTAGCAAGATCTGAAATCGCTGCTATCCTCAAAAACGCTAAGAAATCCGTTAGCAACATCATCAAGGACGAGCGTTTTCAACTTGCTCAATTTAAAAAGAGAGATGATATTGTCACCCTCTCAGCCGACAAGGGCAATGCTACTGTCATCATGGATAAAACCATATACAACAACAAATTTCAGGACCTTCTTATGGATGGTAGCTATACCAAAATTAATTGAGATCCTACAAACCGCTTGCTACGAAAACCAACAATGTCATCACTAACTCGACTTCTCTAATCGAACCAACCAAGCCTCTCTCTAAAACCTTCTGCTGCTAGACCACCCATATTTTATGGCCTTCCAAAAATCCACAAAGAAGGTACACCGCTCCATCCCATCGTCTCCACCATTAACTCACCCACCTACAAACTGGCACGATTTCTGTCTGAGACCCTGCTTCCATTCACTAGCAAGACCACCTCAGCTGTACTTAACTCAGCTCACTTGTCTTCTTGGTTCTTTCGGCAAAGGCACGTAGAAGGGAAATAGACAGCAGGGCTGTCAGAAAGACAGCATCAGACGCTGTCTTTCCGACAGCCCTGTTCTTCACCTGAGGACGGCTGCTTGCGTTGTGGCCGAAACGTCGTGAGAATTGTATTTTATTATGTTTTATTTTTATAATTTTATTATTTCCCTTCTACGTGACTTTACCGAAATAACCAAGAAGATGAATCCCTGCAGTCACGAAAGCTTTAAATCGAAATTCAGCTCACTTGGTTTCTCTGATCAAAGACAGCTTACTGTCTACAGATGATTTGCTTGTCAGTTTCGATGTAGTCTCGCTGTTCACCAATGTACTGTGCCTGACACCATTGAAATCATTGAAGACTTGGTCCAACAGGGACTGAATTATGACGTGCCAACTTTGGTGAGGCACTGCCTTAGCAATACTGACTTCCCCTGGAATGGTACATTCTACAAACAAGAGGAGGATACCCCAATGGGTTCTCCCTTATCGCCAGTGGTAGCGAATTATTTCATGGAGAAATTTGAGACAGATGCCATTCAGACATCCACCCTACGTCCTTCCTTGTGGAAGAGATACGTAGATGACACGTTCGTCATCTGGCCACATGGCCAGCCAGCACAAAACCAATTATTCAAACACATCAATTCCATACACCAAGCCAATAAAATTCACCATGGAAGTGGAAAAGGATGGCAAGTTACCATTCCTGGATGTTTTGATCGAGAAGAGACCTGATGGCTCGTTGGGACATTCTGTCTACAGGAAAGCCACCCACACGGATGCCTATCTAAAGCCTGACTCCCACCACCATCCAGCCCAGAAGAATTCCCTCATCAAAACACTACACCATAGGGCCCGTTGCATCTCCGACCAGCACCACCTAGCCAGTGAGTTGGAGCATGTACACCAAGCCCTCAGGATGAACGGATACACGGACCGTACAATCCGCAAAGCTGTCTCCCCAACCATGGGGAGACAACCATCTGAGGACCCAATCAAAACCATCACCTTGCCATACATAGCAGGGGTTACCAATTTTTTTTCCAAAATCTTGAACAAATACAAGATCCAGGTTCGTTTCAACACACTACACAAAATCCGTGATTTGATCCCATCTGTAAAGAATGTAATTCCTGACATGCAATATCCTGGTGTCTACAAACGAAGTTGTGGCTGCGGCAGCAGTTACATTGGGGAAACGAAACGACATGTCTCGGACCGCGTTCGCGAACACAAGGCCGATCTGAAGCATGGTAGGACCAATACCTCTGACGTTGTGGATCATATTTTTAATGCTGTGGGCACACGCGAAATAAATTTTTCCAAGACGAAGGTACTCTGCAAACCTACTGGCTATCATCAGAGCTTTGTTCATGAAGCCATCCAGATATATAAACACAGACACAACTTCAACCGAGAAGATGGATACAAATTGAGCAATCATTGGAAGAACGTGATTAACTACCTGCTGTGATGTTTCCATTCTTCCTGCGATTTTAGCTGACTCTCTGAGTTGCATTATTAGGTTGGATGTCTTTGTATTGACAGGCTGCAGAGGTGTAGCTAGTGGGGGGCAGGGGGGTACATATGTCCCCGGGCGCCAAGGTAAAGGGGCGCCAAAATGAGGCTTACAACGGAGGGCGCGGCAGCCTGAAACTACTGCACAAATCTACACCTCAACCTAAAAGTTTATATATATTCCGCCACACACAGCCTACATGTCATGTAATTACATTTTGGTATGTGATTAAACGGGGGGGGGGGCGCCAATTTTATAGTTCGTCCCCGGGCGCAAAATATCCTAGCTACGCCACTGACAGGCTGGATGTCCTTCTCGCTCAGTCACCGATGCTGCGATATACTAGGCAAGTCACCGATGCTGCGGCATACTAAGCTTGTGCATTGACATGCTAATCTCTCACAGTACAATAGCCACTTCCACAGCCTCAGGCGGACCATGTCTAGCCCTGCCCTCTTACCCTGAGGCTGCATCCATCTCAGGCCTATATGAGACCTTGTTTCAGTAGTTTTCTCTCTCTCACTTGAAGACGGTCGCTTGTATTGCGATCGAAACGTCGTGATCTATTGATTTTCTATCTACGTGACTTTACCAAAATAACCAACGAGTATAGCAGAAATATCACTTGACGATGTGTGTTTCCTTTTATCAGAACGTGCGCAATTCCGAGGGCTTGTATGGGAGTGTGCCAGCATAAGCCTCCTTTCAGAGGATAAGCTCACCAGGTTGGTGAGGAGAGGGACAAGGGAGCCCCTGGGACTCAGTGAGGCCACCCTGGGATGGGTGGCAGGGTTACAGACCGGCATAAGAGATGTTGCAAGTAATATGACCAAGCTGCAGTTCAAAGTGAAGGCAGTCCAGGGCGAAGTGGGAGGACTACGCTCCACGGTAGGGGGGCTAACCAGGCGAGTGTGTCAATTAGAGACAGAGCTCGGACAGATGCGCATTGGGAGGAGAAAAGGGAGTGGTCAAGGGGCCTCCTATGGAGCCACCACCTGTACCCGTGCGTGCTGTCTGTGCAACCAATGGGGGCCACGGTGCAACCCAGTGGCC